TTTTTTAATGATGGAAGTGTGAAACGTGGGAGAGCGTGAATGCTATGTGGCTGCCAGGGTTCTCCAGATTTCAAAAGATTTCCACCTTTGACAGGGAGCCGTTTGACTACTTTTCTTTTCTCTCTATTAATGGAAAATATTGAGGGGTAAATCAGATCTTACCCTTTTTTTCATTCACACCGTTTCATAGAGGAGGAAAGGAAAGTTCAGGTACACGAAAACTTTTGGGTGTGAAAACGAATAATACCAGCAGAATAAATAAGCTAAAACTCACCAACTTCGGAACGTCAAGTTGTAGGTTAGGAAACTAAGAAGCATTTTTATGGTGGCTCTTGACTGGTAACCACTTGACTGCTAACTGCAAAGTCAGCAGTTAAAACCCACCAATCACGCTGCAGGTGAAAGGTGAAGCTGTTTGCTCTCCTAAAGATTTGCAGCATCAGAAACCCTACGTAGAGTCACGTTGAATCAAAACTGACGCAATGGTAGTGGTTTTGGTCTGATTTAGATTTACCATCACTCTAAGGAGGCCTGGTGGGGCAGTGGCTAAAGGGCAAACAGCTGACTGAAAAGGCAGGAATTCTACCCCACTAGCAGCTTTAAGTCACCCTGATGGTGTAGTAGTTACGCCGTGGGCCGCCAATCACAAGGTAAGTAGTTTGAAACCACCAGCCATTCAGCAGGAGAAAGGTAAGGATTTCTACTTCCATGAAAAGTGCAGTGTCAGAAACCCACAGGGGCAGTTTTACCCTGTCTTACAGGGTTATTATGAGTCAGAATGGCAGTGAGTGAGTAGCAGCATGTGGGAGAAAGATGCTTCCACTAAACATGGGTTCCCTATAGGTCAGTTCTACTCTGTCCTATGGGATTGTGATGAATTGGGATTGACAATGTAAATGGTGTGTACCTCCCCCACAACCATCCACAAGCACAGAGTCAACTTGACTTTGTGTGTGTTGGAACAGCACTGTGCTCTGGAGAGTTTTCACAGACGGGTGATTTTGAAAGTAGATTTCCAGGCAAAGCTCTAAAGAGGGGAGATAAGTAAGTGGACTGCTGTTTGGAACTCTGAAAGTTATCTAAAATTTTCTTGGCAGATAAATTCAGGCTGGAGCTTAAAGAATAGAAAGTATGATAAGATTATTTACATCCAATGTCATTAATGATGGATGTAATTTGAAAGCCATTCCTACATCTTAACATTTAACTTGTAATATGGCTTTGTGATCAGAAATTGTCACAAGCTTGACATCACTCAAAAAACAGGCAATTTAACAATCAGCCCTTATCTCTTTATTGAATGATGAAGAAATATTGGAAAGTTTTTGTAAATTGTGATAAAACTATCAAGTTTAATTTTACTGGTAATCTATTTATTTCATTTTACTTCAGTAAATAGTTTTTGTTTATTAGCACATTTGTAGTAAATGTTATATATACACCATATATACTCGAGTATAAGCCGACCCAAATATCATCTGAGACACACAATTTTACCACAAACTGCATTTAAAAATGTGCTGAAAAACTCGATTTGTACACAAGTATATATGACATATAATTTTATTGGGAGCTCTTACAGATATCATAATATTCCATAGTTCAGTCACATCAAACAGTATTGTATAATTGCTACTACAATCAATTTCAAAGCATCTTCTTTCTTCTTGAACTCCTGTTACCAGCTCCCCATTATACCCTCTGCTGCCCTCCCTACCCCCTAAGAAACCTTATTTTTTATTTTATTTTTGCCGTATCTTACACCACCCATTATGTCCATTCACATGTAACTCTGTTCTCTCCCTTGATTGGGGCTGTATAGTCATCAATGCTATTGGGTTCCCCACCAACGCCCCTTACCATCAGGGAACCATTACTCCTATTACTGTTTCTGAAGAGTTATTTATCTTGGCTTTCATGTATCAAATGATCTAAATTATACAAATGAACATACGCAAGTCTAACATGACTAATGAGGTAAAACAAATTGAAACCATAATAGTAAGGGGAGAAAATATTAAAGAATCAGAGGATAGTTATATAGTTCATCAGTGCTCTACTGCACACTGGGTTTATCATCCTTTCTATGTGACCCTTTTGAGAGGGACTGTCCAATTATCTTACAGGTGAGTTTTGGTTCTCAACTACATCCAGGCCCCTTTACATTGGTTTGATTGCTTGTTTTTGAACTTCTGATACCTATTTCCGACGACACCTCATGATCACACAAGCTGATATGCTTCTTCCATGTGGGCTTTGTTGCTTCCCTGCTAGATGGTCATTTGTTTGACTTCAAGCCTTTAAAAGCCCAGACACTATGTCTTTTAATAGCTGGGCACCATCCGCTGTCTTCACCACGTTTGCTTATGTACCCCAAAATTTTGTCTTCAGCGATGTGTCAGGAAGGTGAGTATCATACAATGCCACATTATTAAAACAAACTGTTCTTGTACTGAGGTAAGATTAAGTAGAGGCCAAAGTCCTTCTGCTTCCTTGATGTATTAACATAGATATACATATGTAAACAAATATACCTATATTTATATATTTACATGTAAACATATCTCTATATATACTTATTTTTTCTTAATATTTCCTCTTTTTCCTTCTGCCCCACTGGATTTTATTTTGTTTTGTTTATCTCTCTCTCTCTACTTTCTGAACAGCAAATAAATAAAGAAATAAAAGACACCTTAAATTTACAGTAAACATATAAATGTTATATTTTAGGCCCTCATTCTTGCTCCATAGTTTTTCCAAATTAAAGCTTTTTATTTTTCTTGAGACTACATATACATATGATTTTATACTTTCATTTCTGGATTGTCTAGGTTATAGCAGAGTAATAAACAATGCCCAATCTCAATGTCTTCAAATAACAAAGGCTACTCTCACTCACCCTACCGGTTCATCCTATGCTGACTCAGGTGCTTGGCTCTCACTTACGGACCCAGGCCAAGGGAAGTCCCATCTCCATGCTCCCATCTGCAGAACCAGGGAGAAAAGGACACAGTACACTGAGCAATATACATTGCTTCTAGATGAGTGTTACACACATTATTTCCCATCACACTGTACTTGTCAGTGAAAGTCACATGTTTGAAGAGGTTAAACAAGGCACTTCTTCCAATTGACTACAAGGGAGAGAGTCAGAAAACAAACAAACAAACAACAAAAACATGTGAAAGTACCACTGCTCACTGTGGGGGTTATGCTATATCTCTTTCATTCCAAGGTCACACAACTTACGTGGCAGAGAGTAATTATTTACAGAAGTGATATTTTAGTGTATAGGACCCTGCTGTAGTCTAACAGCATGTGAAAATAAGCAATGCCCATGTTACATTCAGCCTACTGAGTCTGCAGTGCAATGGATTATTAAATAGGGCTCTCCTACTCTTTTTGACTCCCACCAAACAACTGGCTGACCATGCCGATTGGGTGCATCTCTTCGTTCCCTGATGCATCCAGGGAGAAGGAGAAGATTATAGTATTCAATTGTGAAGAATTGTTCACAGGATTAACTGTGACTGTAAGAACATGGAGGTGTAATGTGGGGATTGGTCAGTTTAATCTTCCTGTTGGGTATACAATAAGTCATCTCAGCGGCAGGGAGTGGGATATTACTACCTCCAAGAAAGGAGACCTAGGAGCATGTCCTATGAACCCCTAGGATCCCGCCCTATTGAATCTCCTTCATTATAGACAGCTGTGACAGCAGAAAAGTGGCAGAGAAGTGGCAGTAGCAGAACCAAGAGACAAACCATAGGAAAGAGCAGTGGGCTTCCTAGGCCACAGGGAGTGTAAAACAGTGCTTTCAGGGAGGAGGTTAGTTGTGTAGTGGGATGCCTCTAGGCACTTATTTGGGGAACCTATGGAGTTAGAGTTGAGTGCTAATTAGGGTTGAGACTTATGGCCGGAAGAGGGCACACTGTCAACAGTAGTAAAAAGCTTTGTAATAATGCCCTAAAAGGGCTTATACTAGGGACCAGAGAGAGGCTTACCTCAGGACATTGTTGAGAAGCCACTGTTCTGCCTGAAAAAACTGTCTTGAACATTTCTGGTCCTAAATTTTAATCTGTTAACTTCCTTTATAAACCCCAGAATTGTGAGTATAGTCTATAAGTTCTGGATGACCATTGAAATGAGATACAGAACACAGTTTAGAATTAGAGAATGCAATGGGTGGACTGGCTGGTGTCAGAATCAGTAAGAAGGTTGGAGAAGACCAGAGGCATACCTTACCTCAGTCTCAGAGGACTGGGCCTTGGGCAGCTGATGCCATTGATGAGGACTCTCTCATGCATGACCGTAAATCAGAAGTCAAATGCTGCCTCCACTTCACACCTTTTTACAGAGCCTAAAGGTGCCACCTGGTGGCACAATGGTTCAGCATTCACCTGCTAATCATTTTAACCCATCCAGCAGCTCTGTGGGAGAAGGAGTGCTTGATCTCCTCCCATAAATATTACGCACTGCCCTCAAGTGGATTCCAACTCATCGTGACCCTTTATAGAGTTTCCAAGGCTCTAATTTTCAGGGGAGCATACATATACTTATCTTTCTCCCATGGAGTGGCTGGCGGGTTTGAACTATCAGCCTTGTGATTAGCAGTCCAACTCTTACCCAATAGCACCATCAGGACTCCTTTAGTCTAGAAAACCCTATGGGGGAAGTGCTAGTTTGCCATAGAGCACTATGAAGCAAAGTTGATGGCATCTAATAGCAACACCAAGCAAGTCTGAGAAACACTACTCCTCGTCTATGAAAAAATGAAGAATACATCTGTTTACATGTGTGAAGGCTTAAAAAGTAAGGTTCTTGAAGGGAAAACATGAAAACGAGGAAGGTATGAAGAAGCTGCAAGTGTATAGGGTACAAGAAAAGATACTTAAATGAATCATCCCCAATACTGCCATTCTAGCACCTATAGGCCTCTGCTCTGGAATGATAAATACCAAATGATCAAAGCCATTTTGTTTTGTCTCTCCCCCGCTTAGGAAAACATAAACATCGATGAAGCCTCCAGATGCCTGGTGAAGCACATCCTGGCCAACGAGTGTGACCTAATGGAGTCTATCGAGCCGGACATAGTGAAGCCCCATCTCTCCTCACCCAGAGTCGTCAGCTGCTCCAGCTGCGCCAAGTCCTAGTGGTCTCCTGACTTGGTGCAGGATGGAAACAGCCCATCGCCCCGTACTCCGTGCCTTATCTTTTACCACTCCAGGTAAATGTCAGGAGAGGGACACACAGTGGCATGCCAAAGATCTAGCCCTGTATCTTTCGAAAAGGAGAGAAATAGCAAATCATTTTGGTGTTTTTGTTGCCCCCATCACCGTGTTTACAATTGTTTAAGATATTGACTCTGTTACAGAATTTTGTTGTGTAGCTGACCAAAATTCTTCAGGGACAGAAGCAGACTTGTTATTTGTTTCTGTACATCGATAAAGACTTTGGGTCTCAGAGAGACAGGGGAAGAGCAGACTAGCTGTCAAGTTAAGCATTGGCTTTCCCTGTGCCCCTGGCATCTTTGTCTAGATGTCCAGACATTCAGTGGTGACAGTGGAAATGTCCTTTGTTCCAGCGACGACCTCAATTATCAACATCCTAAGAGTTGTCTCTGATTTAGCTTTTCAGAGTCAAGTACACAAGCTCCCTGTTTTTTGTTTTGTTTTTGTCATTTGTCGTGCCCTGAATGCTGGTTTAACTGAAATCTGTGGGGAAATGCTTGCCCCTGTCTGTGCCCTGCTGCCAGCTTCCTCTGACTCAAGCTGGGCTTGTCATATAGTATGTGTATTTTCACAAGTGAAAAATAAAACATTAAAAGATGCTGTTTCCCTACTTCTGAAAGTGCTTGGAATTTTTGTGTGAGCTGTGAACTTGTTTTTGACTGTGTAACCAAGCATCTCAGAATACATTTCTAAAACGTATTTCAAAGAGATGAGAAATGTGCACTTGAAGGAACTTCTGGGTACTAATAAAGCTGATACTAAAGTCTTTTCAATTGGTACCTATTGTTCATATCACCCTTGAGACCAAGAAAGTCATCAGTATATATCATCAGAGGCCTATATCTTTATATCTGCTGACCAAGAGGGCTCCAGACGAAGCAATGTAGAAGAAACTACCAAAGT